ACCACTCAAAGCGCTTTACACCACATGTCACATTCACACACATTCATAGTATGATGACAGTGGCTGCCATGCGAGATGCCAACTGCTCATCAAAAACAGAAACTAATCCTATTCACACACATTCATACACCGATGGCACAGCATCTGGAGAAACCACCAACCTTCTGATTAACGGACGACATGCTCTACCTCCTGAACCACAGCCACCGTATAAATAATTTCTCTCCTGGTCCTTTTAAGATAAAGAATGAACAAGACCTGTTGCCTGTGTGACTACATTCTGGTATCAAACAAACCAGGATTGTAGCTTTAGTAGCTCTGGGTAGCTTGTGGCGAGAGGACACACATGACTTGCTTGAACTTTGGGTGTGTAATCTTTCTTGTATTTTCACAGTCTTATACTTACATACTACTACAGTTTTATGACAAACTGCAACTTTCTTGACTTGCAAAGTGATCTTTTAAATTGCCAAATATCGTAGGTGTAGCAGTTACAGCAGTAGCTAGCTCTGTTTTTTAAATGACTTTGTGACTTGTAACCATTGTGGTAGTTGAGCTTTGTTTTTCATACAATACTTTGGTAGGAATTGTGCATTTACATGGCTATGTGTATAATACTGTCTACAAGGAAAAGTTAATGTTTGTGTCCTGGTTTATGTTGCTATCTCTGTAATGTTTCTATTTTACAAACAAAAGCAAAAATCCAAAAGAGGAAACAAGACTTCAGTAATATACAAGTCAAGCCATGTACTGTATGTTTATTGGAAGACTTTAGAGTGTTAACCGGCTGTCTAGCTTTGCACAAGAAATCGTGCTGCAAGGGCAGGACAAAATGCATGTTTTATAACTGAGTAAATCCACAATTTAGTCAGTTAATCCAAAATGAGTAAACCTGCAATTCTCCCTGATAAGAACGAATGTCAGAAGACAGTGATTCATGTAACTTTGGCAGATTTTGGAGTGTGAGACAGAAGAGGGGTTTGTGATAAATCCCACCAAATTACACATCACAGACACAAATTCTACAAACAACCTCTCGACTCCAGCTTTTATCGACTGTCATCAGCACCCGGTGTAACAGAACCAAGCCTGAGTTACCTTTATCAGCCACACTCAGGGCTCAAATCAGGCCAAGCCAGCCTACAATCAGAGAGCAGACGACTAACCCTTGCTGCACAATAATGGCAGCATTAATCACCTCCCCAACACCTCACCACCTGTCCCACAAAATGATTCCTTAGGGACTGAATCCCTCCGAGCCACCCATCCTGGTTCCTTCCACAGCAAATATCACCGAATGCGGTGATTTTCAGTCCGGCCAAGTTACAAATCAAGCAGCTCTTTTGCTATTGGTCCAGCGTTAGTCCGTCATTATAAGCAACTGATTTATAAGTCAGCTCAGTGTGCAAATGGGCTGAGTGGCTGTTGTCCATGTGATTGGATATTGATTTTGAACTGACTTCCATGATAAATATGCATTTTCAGAAAAATAATTGAGCTCTATGTACATATTTTTTTGTAAAAGAAATGTATAGTGATTAAACTTTTAACAAGGCCTATATATAACGTGGTACTATCAGGGGGTGGACAGTATAACATGAACATCTAGAAAACAAGAGCTTTTTGCCAGCTTGTGCACGTAAAAAGCTTAAAATGTTTATTATTTGTGCACATCATTCTACCCTTAGTCACTCTCTTTGCCCACAATACTCCCTTTGCAAAAGTTGTCATTTGAATACTAGCAACAAAAGATCAACCTGTCACAAATCTAGGACAAGTAAGGGTTTGATTGTCACCTTCAAGTAAAAATAACTACTGCACATCCCAGTATAATGGTTAGTTTTAAATTAAGACATGTTTGGTTTTTCATACATATCTGGGCAGGTTAAAGCCTCACATCCGTTTGAATAATAAGTTTTACAAATACTGGGAGAAACCACAGCGCCTGGAGTAAACCCATGCAAAGACATGACATGGAATCTCAAATGCCAGTGCGCAATCAGAGTGATTGTTTGTGACTAGAATATCGTAACATCATATTTATTTAAATACTACAGGAATAACAAATAACCCAGCCAAGAACAGACCTCTAACACACTAAACTTTACTAGACATTACAAAACATTTTAATAAATGTTTCATAAAACATGAATACATTATTGATAAAACCTTATACTGTAGTACTGTAGATTGATAAATAACACAATATGATAAGCAGTTCTAATAAAGAGGTACTTATCAGTTCATGGTTTACAAATCTTGGATCTTGTTAGGTTTACATATCAACCTGACATTTAGCACAAGGAATGGAACTACAACAGATCAGTTTGCTGAGTGGGCGTGGGTTGATGGTGCATTTTCTGGAAGAAATCCTGCAATCAGCAGACAAACAGAAGTGATTCAGGGTTATTCTGTGGCATTGGTGGACACAGTGTGTGATGTGACATCAGAGGTGACAGAGTGTGAGTCAGGAGTTTGTTTGTGCTGAACCAACTGGGCTGCAGGGCTTTGCTTTAAACAGGCTGGGGGTGAATGTAGCACTGTACTGGGATGCCCTGCTGGAAAGGTCAAAGGGGGCCACAGGCCACGGGCACAGTGGGAACACAACCTACTGACATTTACACTCTCTATAACCCTCACTCTTTGTTCCTCATTCTTAACATGCACATGTACTGCTGGTGAGTCAGAGCTCTACCTCATTTCAACACTCATGTATAGCTCGTTATGTAAGCCAGCACTTTTTAGGGTCTGATACATCACAAACATCTCTGACACAAACACTTTTTTGAGCATGTATAAGCTATTTGAAATATATCCAGACCCCAGCAAACAACCATCCCTTTAATTACTGCTTCTTCATGAATTCTAGTAATTTGTTCAATTGATAATTTGCCAGATCAACAGTATGATGGTACTGAGGACCTATTACATATTATACATACATATACATATTTTCACATTTATTACTTTTAGTATGTATCTTGTAAAAACATCCCAATTCTGGCATGTTTCTAATGAAAAGTTCTGCATAGCAATACGACAAATATCTACTTTACGTACTGTAACTTAAAAACACCCTGACTAGGGGTGTAAGGAAATATCAGTACCCTTGAATATTGCAGTATTTTGTATCGATTTTTGTGTTTAAACCCCCAGCAGCTAGATAGCAGTGTTGCAAATGTAAACTTAGGGCTATGATGTTGGGTATTGCAAGGACTGTTAATGTACTGTGCAACGTATTGCAATACACAGCCCTAGTTCAGACTAGGGATGGGCATTTTAAGTCATTCCAAATCCAAGTTCTTGTGTTACATTATTATCGAATCAGAAAAATCTAACATAAGAATAGGGTCAGAAAATAAACACCCAAGCAAAAATGTTGGTGTGGTTAGAGTTAGCCTTTACATTATGCACAGGCTGTAGAGATCAGCCTACTACATGGAGAAAAAACATATCCACATACATTAAGATGTTCAATAACTTGTTTGGTAAGAAAAAAGCTGTGGCTGGTTTAATTTTTTTATCTGCAGCCACCTTGGCCCATATAGCTAGACAGTTAATGTTGTTTCTGTAACAATATCTATTACTATCTAATGCTTTTACATTTATGTAAATTGGCGAACATGAAAAACAAGAGCAGTTTAAGAGTAAAGGTTGAGTGATGTAATGCAAGTACTTTATCTATACATTGAATATAATGACAGTGGCATGTAACTAATTTCCATATAAATGAATAAAAATGAGGCTCATTCCTCATTTATTGATGTAATGTGTGATTCATTTGCAAGTGTTGTGAGTTTTTGTGAATGTGTGATAATGCTCATTGTGGCAAGTTATGAAGATGGCCCCCCACCAGGTGTAACCTCCTTGATCCCTCAGTTAGGTGGCCAGCTCCTATTGATTCCTAGTTTTCTCAGTTCTGGTCTGGTGCTAAGATAGCCACTATCATAAATAATAACCATGCGCCCTCTCACTGTCAGTGAATACCGATGAGCAGTCAGAGCTCATGATTTAAGAAAAAGGAATAAATCAATAAATTTTCTTTAAAAAAAAAGCACTCCAAACAGAAGAGACTGAAAAAGTAGATGGATTTTTTTCCTGGGCTTTAATAACAATATAAAAGGGACATGGACAAGGACTCAGCTGTCTCCATAGAGGCATTATGGCAAAATACCACTGGGACAAGTACAGATACAACAGGAATAGTTCTAAACTGTAAAAACCATCTGTTAACACTATATAAAGAAACTGAGATAGAATAAAGATACTTAACAAGGTTATCTAAAATAAAATGTATATGTGCTGTTAAAGTGAAGCTTGCACATTAAAAGATAAGTCTGTCTCACTGTCAATCAATATAGCAATAGCCCCGGTACTTAGAAGCAAAATGAGCTATGATGTTTCTCCTTAATGTGGGAAGAGGATATAACACATTTATTAAAAACATGCCTGTGTCATTTATTAATTATGAGGCTTTTGTAATTTATTTACATTCTAGGTGTTGACCCTTGACTCACATGAAGTTAGAAAGGTTAATGTCAGGATTTGATTTGAATAAAACCTAAGTTAGAGTTACTTTAAGAAAATGTTTGTCATGGCACTTGTAAGCCCTAAGCCTTAATGGCACCAGAATTGAAATAAAATGTTTTGTGTGAATAAAATTCTACATATAGGCTGTATATAATTCAATCATAAATCTTTACTGCATCTTTATTTTCATTTATTTCTTCTGAAAACATTTCTGACGCTAATAACAAACTTTAAGAGTTCAATTTGTCTAATGAATATAGAGAAATAAATAATATATGTGAACTCGGAGCACATTCTGTTTTTAAAACGACAACGATTTGACAATCTTAGGCAGAGCCACACGTTGAGACAGGCCACAGTGTGCCTTAGATGTCTTAGGATGATTTGAGCATGTAAAGACATTTTAAAAGGAGTCCTGTTTCTTCTAAAAATAGCCACCACATAGATCTTGTAACCTCCAACCCGTGGGTCTTTTTCCTCTGCTGCCACTGAGTGCTGACAGACCTGCGGGGCTGAGAGATGTGACAAAAAGCCTGCAAAAATCGGACTGGGATTGAACCGGGACTTCGGAATAACGGTTGATAATTAATAGTCAGAATTATAATTATTATAGTGATCTTAAAAGTGGATTGAGAGGCCTGAAAACAATTGGGATTTTTGTCTGTAAGCGTTGCCTCACTCAGCATTTGGACGGTTTCAAGCGAGACCAAGTGAAGGATGAGGAGTAACTTTTAGGCTTCATCTTTGCAGGTTTTAAAAGGTAAGGACCTCACACACTTCAAATAAATTTCTGAACACAAACATGCAACAGAAAAGACTTTTTCTTTGGTGGGAAGTAGTTCCAAGGAAAACTGTTCACAGTGAGGTCTATGGAGAATCCACGCCCCAACAGCACATTGTTTCTGGACAAAAACAGATTCCTGTGGTCTTTAAAAGCTCACAAATGTAGCTCACTTCAACTCCATTGTACTGAGGCGACGACACTAATCTTTGGGGACAGCTATTGCAAAGCATCAACCTTTTGAAACAGACTTAAAGTAGACTGTGGTATTATATGGCATTCCATCCCTGTTTGCATGCTCATTCTCTGTCTATAACCTTGTGCATTTTTATCTTTTATCCTATTATAATCAAGTGGCTTTTGCTTTTTACTTTTATTCTATGTCTTATTTATGTGAAACCCTTGGTGCATGTAATTCCTTTCTTGTTGTACTATTATTATTATTATGAAATTTAGTTGATTTACAAGCTCAATTATGTCACTGGGGTTATTTCTATGCATTTATTTAAAAAGAGCTCAATATCATGTTAAAAAGATGAAGAGTTGTAGTCTACAATCTGCTGCTCCACACCGTCATTAAAAAACTTTTAAAGTATGCTGTATGCTCAGAGAAAGGATACTTTGAGGAAATGCTGCACCTGATGCTGTCAAGTTTTATTCTGGTTGCAGTGATTGAAGAGATCATGGTATTAGTCTACATCATGTGCAACAGATAACCCACCTCATGAACTTACCGTGCTTACTGGGTCTTTGGAGATTTTTTTGCTCTAATACATAGTTTTTAGCACAGTTTTCCCCCGCTTAAACTACCTAATAAATCTAAGCAAACTCAACCAGCCTACGGTTCATATTTTAGACTTTTACCCTCCAACTGTTGCCAGTGACATCGCAATTTAAGTCAAAAGGCAACACCTCATTACCACTCATACAAGCAGAAAATGCGCAGGCTGCATGTGAATGGGATGACGCATAGCTCTGCAAAGGCAAACTGAATGAGAGCAACAGCAAGATGGTGTGCACCATGCAGCTCCAGCTCCCACTTTAAAACCTCCACCACCACCACCACGTCGACAGCACAGCTCCACACAACCGACTGCGCTCACGGATCGGAGCTCGTCTTCATCCCAGCGGTAACACAGTGACTCTGAAACAGCCACCACCACCACAACAACAACAACAACCGTCCACGGTGTGAATCGGCGCTGTAACGGGGGGAGCGCTCCTCTCTCGCTGTGTATCCTGTTGATTCTGGCTGCCAAGCGTTCAGAGGAGCACAGCTCGTCCGTCAGTACGGGGGAAGACAAAAAACCCTCAGACAAGACAACCCTGGTCGCGCCAACCACACCGGATGGCATTTCTCTCTGGGTTTGTGCGCACATAAGACGGTGAAGTGTCTTGACCTCTGTTTTTTTTCTTCCTTTTTCTTTCCCAACGTTGATTATTGAAGACCTCTGGGAGAGAAAAAAACCTGCTCTACATTTCGAAGATTTTTTTTCTTTTTGCTCCTTTCCTCCTTTTGTCACAGTAGAAGCAGGTCGTGATTTTTTTTTTGCATGCAACATAACGGGATTCGTGGTGGGAACGTTTCCTTTCATCAATGTGCATTGATGTAGCAGAAAACGTGGAGGAGATAAGGTGGGTTAAAGCGTGCACACACACACACACAGGCTGATTCTTGGTGTTTACTGGAACCATCTGGGCTCTTTGTCGTGTGAGTGTGTTCAGAGAGCATCAGTAGTTTGGATGCTTTCATTGATATCCAATGGATAAACACCTTCCCTTTCCCGAGTAGCTCCCACGGTCCCATTGTCTCGTTGCATGGCCCTGGCTGCTTGTTGTGTTATGAAAGGGAACATTTTGATGAATGTTTCTCTCTCTCTCTCCCTCTCTTTCTCAGAAGCCTTATCTCAGCACCTGGAACATCTGGCAAGGATTTCATTGAGGACAGTCTGCGATTGAAAGGATTTCGATTCTTGTCTAAATCGGGAATTACACATCCAAACTGGGATCTATGAGCGGAAAAGTGGCGAAGCCTAAAGAAGACAAGGATGCTTCCAAGGGTAAGAGGCGAGCCTTGCCTTGCACAGACTGCTTCACCCTGAAAATCACAGGGTTTGTGTTGTTTTTTTTTACGCGACCATGCGCCCATTCATTCCCTATACATGGTGCTCAAATCACCCTTTGAGGTTAGACTGGAAACAATAGCAGCCACTGGATGGTGAGCCATTCCCAGCATGGTGCATGTGGGTATTTGCCTGTTATGAGATCTAAGATTGCTACTGTAGGCCTGTATGTGCTGCACGATGTGTCGGTTGGAGATCACATGCTTTACTCTCATCTACTTGGTGATCGCCAAAAACACAGACAATATAGACAAACGGAGAATCAATATGTTGCAGACCAGCAGGCTGCAGTGTCACAGACTGTGGACAAAAACGGTGTTGCCATTAAAAGTAACGATACGGTTGAAATGATGACAGTGATAGCCCATTGTGTCACTGGCATCCTGTTGAAATGTCCCTTTGTGTTTCTCGCTCGCACCTTATCCGCATACTGATCCGCACATTCTCATCACCACACATCTGTACAGCCGTGGAGCCTTTTCGGTGTCTCTTAGCTTGAGCTTATGGCGTGGAAAACAAACAAATAATAATAATAAGAAAATAAAATGAGGTCCTTTCCCTTTCAGAATAAAGCAAGTAAACTGCCTATCTATTGCCATGGACACGGAGCGGAGACGGGGTTGCCAGAGAAACCTGGCGGGACTAATCATTGTAACCGCTCCATCTGCACCGGGGATGTGCACGACACTTTACGCACCGGCACACACATTACTGCACCTTTGTCCTGGTGCTCGTTTTTTCTCCCTCCTTCATATTAAACAATTAGAATTATTAATAAACGATTCACATGCCGCTGGTTAACAATGACGCAGTTTTATTGCGTCATTAAATTTGTTTCCAGATGCATGAGCCAATGAAACTGCTTTCACCCTCAAATAGCAGCCTGTTGTCTATAGCCTTAATTGGAATCAGGATTCATGACTTTCTATTCCCTAAATATATTTTTATGGTGTTATGGTTGATATAGTAACCTGCATTTGCACTGTGGCAGCCTTCCTGTTTATTTACAGTATAGCAATTCGATTGGGTCTCCTTGTTGTCAGGTTCCAGCTCTGTTTAAGATGCTCACAACAAATCAATAAACCTAATTGGCTTATTTTGGCAGCTGCTACAAGTGATGACGTGGCCTGTTGTTACTATAAGGGTACATACAGTAATGATGGCACACTAGAGACCCGCACTCAACAAAGCCCTGTGTGTAAAAACTTCTCCTTAGTCGTTCTTTACATTTATTCATTTATAGGCCATGCAAGTTATTATCCTTCTGAATAACAAGCAGATTAGAGGCAACATTTGAATGTATAATGAACTACTGTCACAAGAATATTATTTATTTATATCACAGACTACTATACTGAAGAGTATTTTGTACATGGTGTCTGACAAATAAATGTGACAAACTTAATGTATAAACCTAAAGCAAAACAAAACGCCAGTTACTGGACAGCCCTGCCTGTTGTGCTGACAATAGAGTGAGCAAGATATGCTCAAAAGAATTGATTTCAAGATTAACCTCCACAGCAACTTTCCCTCCCGTCTCCCGAAGGAAATCAATAGCATGTGTGAATGGCTGACTCATTTAAAGCCCTAGGGCAGCCACATCTCCAAAACTCTCAGATGAGATAAAAAAAACATCTTCACCTTCACCAAGAATGCTCAACAAAGCGTGGTCTAGCTTTAAAAATGCACTGTACAAAGCCAAAAGCTACTGTTACAATATTAGGAGGAAAAACAAAACTGCAGTTCACTATCTGCATCACTGAGAGGGTCACTTGGTGCCAGCTGCCCTCCATCAGAGAGTTGAATGGCACCAGAGTAGGGAATTGCACGCAAGAAAATCAGCAATGACCCTGCCAACGTTGGCAATTTTCAGGGAAACAGTCCATTAAAGCCGGAACCACCTGCCATCTCCAGTTTTTTTTCTTTCAACAAGCTGTTGGCCCACAGGAGCTTCTGATTGCCCTGCTTTTACAGAACAGAAGTGATACCCCCATTTCCTCTCATCTCCTCATCATTTTTGAAAATACTACTTTGGATCCAGAGTGTCTTAGCTAGTTATGCTTATTTACCAGGCTGCTAAAATTACATATGAATGTAATCATCATTATATTAGTTTTTGTCTACCTATTAATTAGGCTTTCAGTTACTTCATATTGAGTTCTCTGAAAATGTACACCCAACACAAGCTGATCTCTGATCAACATAAACCCCAACTACAGCATATCTTGAAATCTTGAACTTTAATGAAGTTCTTTGAAACAAGAACGTATTGGTTAGACACAGCTGATAGGGACAAGCAGAATATAAATTGGATAGATGGAAAGAAAACTCTCTCAGGAGTGACTTCCCTCTAAATAAAATTATATCAAATTAATATATTTTCTCTGTGGTGTTCCCAGGATAACTCATATCCAAAACTGACGTGCCATTAAAACTGTGCAGCTCAGGACAAAATTACTTTTCGTCATTTCAGTGACAGTTTTCTTTTGCTTCACGAGTATGAATTTTGTGACAGTAATCTGTTCTCTCCTCTGTGGCTCAGTTGGGAAGGCCATAGTTCATCCTGTTGCAGCGCATGTGAAAACAGAAAGTATGCAGAGACACAGAGAGGGGGAGAGAGACACGGTGGGGTGGAAGGAGGTGGTGTGTCGCGGAGCTCCAGTATCAACACCAGTGAATCACGTTGTGTTAGTTTCCCCCTGTGCTTGTGAAGCTAAGTTGTGCAGACAAAGTGATGTGTCAAAGCATGACGTGCACACTCTCTCAGCTTTACAACTTTCCAGAGACCGAAAACTCAGATGAGCTCCTGTTGTGCATCAGTTATGCAGACATTTCCACCTTAAGTGTTTATCCAATAATCTTACATTTTCAGTTTAAGAAAGCCAACATGAATAGTTCCATTATTACTTTTGCTATATGTACTTCTTGCAGATTGTCCCTAAATGCCACATTCATGTGAGCAAAGATGACTGCACTTCTGTCACTCTCCTTATACTCCATCTCAAGGCAGTGCAATGATAGACTCCCCTCTCGGGTGTGAGTGTCAGCCAGTGGATTCATGTCAGCCCCCCCCCCCCATCGCAGGTCCGAGCGGAGCAGAAGTCTTGCATATTTGCAGGCAGATTAATTCAGCGCGAGGCCAGCCACAGAACTGAATCAATAGATGCCCAGAGATGAGTTTGGAGCTGCTTTATTAATCACAATGCAGGCAGCTCGTTCTCCACAATACTGACACCTGCTCTAATCTCATCGGCAGACCCACATGCTGCCTTCAGTTTCGTTAAAATCTTTCGATTTAATGGCTGCATCTCAGAGGAGCCCATTTGAATAGCATGTGATTGCGAGAAGATTTGGCCATTGTTTAATTGTTCTGAGATGTTAAATTGTGTTTAATTGTTTTACATATCAATACCTGTAGCTTTTAATTGTAACCTTTCTCTTTCAAACATTCAGAAAGATATCTGCAGCACTTTGCTGGAATGTTAGAAGAAAAGTTACTGATGTGAAAAAAATATCTGTATATTAAAATACATTGAAAGTGGTTTTGTGATAAAAGTTACTAATCTCTGCTTGTATGCATCCCACAGTGCATACATTGATAGGTTACTACGATACATACCACAGTGTCCTGTGCTGTCACACTGGTGTGTGAGCTCAACTGGTAGTGCAGGAGATTTTCATGTGGGGGTCCTCAAATTCTAATCCCTGCATTTGGAAAATGATTCCAAATAAATCTTGAACCCAGGAAGCTCAGGATTGTGTGCTACTTGACAGGGTCAGCTTAAAATTAGTTTCTTAGTAGATACTATTACAAAATTCAGTTCAGACTTTATTCATTTAAATCCTTGTATAATCTAAGCAGTGCATGTTTTGGACTGACACTAGTCACAATGACTATCAAGGTATTCAAGCACAAATAAAATGTGAAGATCTAACAAAAAATAACACACCATTCAAAAAAAGGTGACAGTACTCAATTCCAGTACAAGTAATTTATATATTTCCAACAATATATTAAACACTAAAACAGCTTGCTACATATAAACACGGGGGTTTGTGAGGACATGTTCTTTTGGAAGTATTTGTGGTGTCAGGGTGGTGGAGTTGTTCCCTGTCAGACGCTTTCCTGATACTGACGCAGATCCGGCCACACTGCCTGGAGGAAACTGGTTCACCTCGCATCAGAGATCTGCCACTCTCCATCGCTGACTTGCACGCTGATCACTGTTTGGGAATGATGAGCGCCCCTCTCTTCAATTCCTGTGTCAGCTTAGGTTTCTGAGTGACACGGGGTGCCCTGTGACCAGTGCATTGGCTTTTGCTTCCTGGATTTGGTGCAGTCTGTTTCTTGGAGAAGAAAGTTGTGTTCTTTTAAGTATTCCAGCCTCATTGTTGAAGTCAGTTGTGCCAAGGTTTGAAGTGGTTAGTTGATCAATTAGTGAAATATGTCTGCCAGCATGTCCAAGCAAAAATGCCTTTTTCATCCTCTTAATTTCTCTTGACTTTGAAATGGAATCACGCTCTGTCTTACGTCATCACTGCCAGAAGTGTTCTGCCCCTAAAATCTCTAAATACCTGACTGCTCTGGTGCATTAGTCAGCTTGCTGCTGGTAATCCACAGAGCTGCATGTCTTCTGAGGTGAATGGCTTTATGAGCTGTCCCCACAGTGCCTACTGGAACATGGCTGCCGCTGGTTGTAATTTACCAGGCCGCAGAACCAGTGAAAACATGCCACTGGTTCCCTGTATTTCTTTACCCCCCCTCCCCTTGATATGGAAATACTTCTCTTGGTAGACATTAAGTTGGTCCTGTCATTTGGCTTCCTCTCTAAATATTGTCACTCAGAGAGCGAAGGGTTTTAATCCTCATTAACAAAAAGGCCATGAATGTTAAAACATCTGGCGCTCTGCTGAATCTCACTGCTGTTTCGCAAACA